AGATGGGAATTCACAAGTTGCTTTTAACAGATCAATGAGATTTCTCTTCTTGCTAAAGTAACTTAAATTATTTTTTGAAATAGTTATTACACTGAAACCATATTTTTGTCTCTCTTCAACAGGATGTTATTGCTGGCTTTCTGTATGCTATTCTTATCTTGGTTGTCTTCCATCCAGTTGTGGACCTGATTGATAACTTCAACTTAACTTACAAATATGCACCTTTAATTATCATCAGTCTCCATTTAGCCCTGGGCATCTTCTCTTTCACTCTAGACACCTGGAGCACATCTCGAGGCGACACAGCTCAGATACTGGGCTGTGGTGCTGGAGTAGCCTGCGGCTCTCACATTAACTACATGATGGGTCTCAATCTAGATCCTCCTCCCAAGACTTTACCTTTATCACTTTCCTCTCTCACTGTGACTGTGTTTGGAAAAGCCATATTGCGATTGTTAATCGGAGTAATAGTTCTGCTGTTAACAAAAGTAGCAATGAAAAAAGCCACTATTCCACTGGCATGTAAAATATTTTGCATACCACATGATGATGTACGGAAAGCAAGACAACGCATGGAAGTTGAGCTTCCCTATCGTTATATTACATATGGAACGGTTGGGTTCTCCCTCATGTTCATTGTTCCTTGCCTCTTCCACTTCATTGGTCTTTCTTGATGCAGTTTTATCACTTTCAATAGAACAGAGCTAGTTGTTTTTCAAAGAGGTGCACAGTCTGCTAAGGCAAGGCTAGTGAGCTTCACTTTGGCAGGGTCTTCACTTTAACAGCAATACATAGAAGGCAAAGCATTTAAAGAACTTTGCACATCTTTGGGTATGGTATGGGGCCAAAAGTCAAATATCAATCCACAAGAAGTGCTGAACTCTATAAATGCTGTGTCTAGACTTATTGCTGTAACAAAGTCTGTGTGTGTGATGCAATTAATGTATCTGGAATGTCTGTACCTGTGTACATTGACATTTTAACAGGTATGTCAGCTGATCAGAAAGCTTCATTCATGACCTGTTTGCCATTTCATAATAACTTACTCAAATTGTTGGACCATAGACTGCTAAATTTGTTTTCCTCTATTCTTTCCTGAAGCCTTGCTTCAAGATGTTTCAGCTAATAGGCATTTCTAATGGACCAAACTTGTAATGAGTTTGAATTTTTCTAAAGAAGTAAACAGAAGCCTTTTTCTTTACCCCGCTCTACAGAGTAAAATATCTGGACTGTATTGGTAGATACCACTAAAGTGTATATGATCCAGGTACTGTATTTTATGGTTTAATAACTGTGCCTTTCTGTTACTAAATTAAGAAATGCCATATTACTGTGATGTAAAAATGCCAAATTTTATTTAAAATACTACATAATTAGGCAGATATTTTTAAATGTTAGATTGTCCATCATGTTGCTGGCATGGTTCAAGTTAACTGGAAAGTATTCAGTTTAGCCTAATCAAAATTGCATAAATGAAATAACGTAAGAATCACATCCTTAAGCTCAAGATGTTGTAAATGCATAAATGAAATAACGCAAGAATCATGTTCTTAAGCTCAAGATGTTGTAAATGGACAATAATCCCTTTTGTAAGTATTTTTAATGTGTATTGTAAGTTACTGGAAGAGGATATATTTTTCTGGAGATTGTTTATATAGTGGACATATATTCAAAATTAATTATCTAAACATATAAACAATAAAAACATGCCATTCTGCAAAGAAATGGGCTTCACTTATTATTCCAAACTAATTTAGAAAAAACATTGGTTTTAGATACTTTCTTAGGAAATATAATCCTTATTCTCAAAAAATTACACATATTTTTATTCATTAACATATTTAAAGGTAAAAATCACTTTTACTTCATTTAAATAGCTATAAGACAATATAATCAAATTAAATTTTTAATCATTCTGATAGGTAGATTGTGAGCAGCCAAGACAATATGGTCAATGTATAAACAGTTTGTGCATATCTAAGTATTACTGAATTATTATGCACTTTTCAGCTTTTCATGATCCTTTTCCCAGTGATGAGTAGAATATGACCCTTCAACTGGAATTTCATGTGCCTCTTGTATTTCATTTTGTCTATGTTCACGTGTTGCTTAATCTGTTCTTCCCATGTCAGGAACAGACTCATTGTCTGGCCAGATGTGAATGACTTAGTTTTGTATTGAACTTTTTTTTTCCCCCAGGAAAATCATAATTTGGTTGAAAAGTCTAGTGACAGAATACAAAGCTTAAATTTTTTTGTAAATAATATTTGGAATTGGAAAGATTTTTCGTATTGGAGCTCGTAACTCCAAACTGTTAATATGTAAATTAACAAAGTTAATCTCTTTCTTCAGAGCAGCAAAGTTATGGTACGCCAGCACTAGGTGATGTAAAAAACTAACTTTTCTGATGCATTTCTTCAGTTCACTAAGAATGTACCACTATGAATGTACTCAAACTGATGTATTCAGAACTGATAGTGTATTAAACAACTTCTACAGTTGAGAAGACCTTCCTTAGTAGAAAATGGTTAGCTTATTTCAGTGCGTGTTTCTGGATTTGATTTTTCTCTCTGTCCCTCTTTTGCAGTTTAATGCTGAATGTGCAGTAAAAGGTAAATTGGTTTCCAAGGTTTTGAGGGAGGGATTTCCACTTGTTTGGCTTTGCACACTAAGACAGTCATTAAATAAACAGCTGGGGGGAATGCACACAAAATGCCTTACACTTAAAGCCCTGAGCAAGCGATGTAGTTCAAATCAGATTAAACTAGTTTGAGGACTGGTGAAAACAATAGGATAACTTTCTCTGAAGTTTAAGGCATATTCTTCTTGAATATCCTAGCTTTACATTTTATAGCGAAAAAATGTATAAATTGTAGCACAGAAGAGACAAGTAAGCAAGACTGATCTTTTACGGTACATTTTTGAATTCTAGGAACTTCAGATTTACAGCATAAGGGTATTCTTAAAGCTGTCTTTCCTAGCCGTGCTTGCTCTCTTCTATGAATGGAAAATAAAATCCCCTGTGGAAGAACTAGAATGGGAGAAAAAAAACATATGCAGGTAGGGCTTTCAATGGGCGAAGTAAAATTGCACTGTACCTTATACTACTGTTACTCATAAAGGTATATTTTATATTTTTATACATTACATTGGGTAACTTCAAAATGTCATGTTCCATGTACCACATAGTCTAGTCCACAGAAAATGTATATCAATGTTTATACAGCAACTTCACAATGCACCTTCACAACCCTGTTTCTAAGACTGCAACAACTCTACTGAAGTTTACATGAAAAAAATATTACTATTCTATTTTCATGTTTTATAAGGAGTTACAGTCATGAGGGTATTTGAGCACAAAATATCATGCAATATGAATACGGTTATAAAGAATAAAAAATGCAAAAATGTAAAAATCCACTTTAAATATGAAATACTTGTATTTTAATATATTTATGTCTAATAAGAATCTAAGATCCTTCAAATTGGGCATAATGAAACAGCAGGTATAACTGGAGCACTTCCTTTACACAAAGCAATTCCTAGAGTTGAACATGAAAACTGGTTCTTGTATAAGCATCAGCTGGTACCAAATTATTTATAAATAAATTTAACATAACTTTAAAAGGTAGTTAAATGACTCTTCAGAAGGACAGTACACATTAAACCTTTCATGAAGTGGTGCAAAAACATTCATGTCACTGCTAGTTCCAGGTTGTATCGTCCCAAGGAGATAAATACTGCTACTGTATAGAAGCAGATACAAATGCACATTTATTACAAAAAGCCACGAGTTAAATTTGTCTTCGATTACTATATGAAATAACACCTGAAACAAACAATCATGTAGAGTGCAATTTGGCATGAAATTCTGTTTTCCAAGAGGCTGAAGAGACTCGAATTATTCTCAGGCTGTGTTAAACACAGGAATAGGATTTTTCTTGACCTGGCCCTCAGTCAGAACTAACATATGCATTGCATCTTGGGCAACTCTGAGAAGCTATTATTTCGGGGAAAAAAATCATGTTTATAAAAAAAACTATTACTTCTGCTTCCCATATCATGCACTGGGGTTGAAGCATCTTTCTCCTATGAAGCTCACCTATGAAGCTGTTCAGTATTTTATCACATTTGCCTTACCACTTACCTTGCAAACTGGGGGGCAGAGGAGGTGGATAAGCTATTTTAAGTTAAATTGGTGAACCAAAGGGTGTTGTATTTTGTTTACTTACTTAGAGATTTGTTTTTTAAGCTTATGTACACATTGTCTCCTGTGGGAGAGAATAGTAAATAAACAAAAAAAACCCAGACAAAAAATCAGAAAGATGCATTTCTTTTAAAATGGCATCTCTAAATGTGGTTATGTGGCTTTTTTATTTTTTTATTACCAGAACAGTGTTAAATTGTCTGGATTTTAAAAGCTATTATGCTTTCCTTTACTACTATCTTGCTAATACTGCTTTCAGTTTTTATTACTCCATTTCTTGCTTATTTCCCAGGGATTGTCCTGAACTTTTTGTAAGCAATTGCTACTTATGTGAAGATTGTAATTTTGAACTTGTAAAAACTTAAGGGCTGTTAGTGGCTGTTAGCTGCTCCAATACACAGAAACAAACCTTGCATGCTGTAAGTAAATACATCTGTTGTGCTAAAAGTTGTTTCTATTTCAGTATTTACTTTCTCAATACAAAATTGAGATTTTTCTTTTCTCACACAGTAAATACATCAGATACTTAATAACTCAATAATATGAAGAGGCATTGCTGTTAAATTCCTGTTCTGAAGGTCATGTCTATGCACTAACGTGCAGGCATCAGTGTGTGTGAAGTGACTTGCTTTCTAAGGTCTTTCTAAGGTGTAAATGTAATAGTCTTGCTTTTGAGGTCTGAGATTGCTGTTTTTAAACTCACACTTAGCCCTGTTTTTACAAGACTTTTAAAGGGCTTAACTTGGAAGCTGTTTCTGTCGATGGATTTGGCTGTATGTTTGCAGTACTCTGTACCATGATTGCACTGAATGCCGAGATCCCAGAATAATGTCAGTATGTAAAAGAATGAGAGAATTGATTTCTTGCGGTACTGTGACTCAATTTACTGTAATTGATTCTTGGGTGTTTTTTTGATCTAATATAGGCTGTTTCTAGGTTATACAATTAATTTCTATATTCTACAAATGTCTTTGAGGAAATTTTGACCTTTTTTTTGTAGGAGGAAGTATTATTGAATGACTTCATGCCAGAACTTTATTCTAGTGGAAAAGCTTAAGTGGCCTTTTTGTTTCAGCAAAAATACATAAGCCTATTTTAAAGTTTACTGTAAATACTGTATTTGTCAAATTGATAGATTAGTTGGGTCACTCATGAAACAAAGGCAAACAAAGCTTAATTGAAACAGAATGTGATACTGTATGGCAGAGAAGATACAGCTCTGTAGGTGTTCTCTAAAAAGCGAATACCACATGTTGAAGTTTAAGCAAATATAACTATGCATTAGAAACATTTCTCTGCACTCTGTTCTGCACCAGAAATAATATGTATGTTGGTAAGAGTCCTTTCAAAGCAATATGTGTTTGCGGCATATAATAATAACAGTTCCTGGAGAATCAAAGAGGAATGGAGGAGTACAAAGGAGACTATTATCTTCAAGTTATTGACAAGTAAGTAAAAAGTCCTGTCAAGTTGGAAATTTTTATTAGTCACTAAACTTTGACTAAATTAGTCACTAGAGTCTTCCCACAACTTAATTGCTGTTAGGAAGCGTAAAGAAAGACAGGTGTGATATTCCTGAAATGGAAATTAGATCTTAAGGCTGTTCTAGATGTCTAAAGTATTGTAACTGAGAATGATCAGTTCTAGATGTCTGAGGTATTGTAACTGAGAATGATCAGTTCATGAGCCAGTAAACTGAAAAGTAAGAGCAAAGTCTGAGGAGGATTTTGTATTAATGCACTTAAAAACAATGCCAAAATTTGGCCTATACTTGATTTATATGAAATCTGTAATATAATATATATAAAATTTGCATATTGGAGTTTAATTTTTTATGTAAGATTTTTTCTTGTTACTGCATTCCCTGATAAAAGCAAGTGTTCATGAAATATAAACCAGCTTTGTCTGTACAAGGCAAGGTTTTGTGTTAGTAGTATTTCAGGAAAGAATGCAGCTGTAACCCCCAGTATCTCAACCTCTTGGAGAACTACTTAAAAAAACAAAGCAAAACAAACAAACAAACAAAAACCTTTCAAATGCAAGCCCTGAGTTAGTAGAGTATCATATAATGGTTGCTGTATAATAGTGTAGAACTGATGTTTTAAAAATTAATACATTGGAACTTTTTGTTATATTATCCTTAATGATTTTGTACTCATTGTACACTTCTGCAGTTGTCAACTAATGTTTAAACTCATATTGACTGGTAACTGAAGCGTCTTAACTTCATCTGCAATGAGTGGGTAATAAAGTATTGTTGGATTCACTTGTGTTTTGTTGTCTTTATTCCTTCCAGTGCTAAGGGGCATGTGGTTGGACACATACCACAAGCGTAAAACACGGATCACAAGAAAACTCATCTATCAGTAACTGTTAGAGCAATATCATCTTTTAAGGTGTGGGCTTAAGATGCATAAGTTTAGGAAAAAAGAACAAGGAAATTCTGAAATGAGGTTTTTCTTTTTCCACTGCTTTAAAATCTGGACTATTTAGCTTCATATAAACAATAAAACAAGCTATTGATCAAACTGTAAACAAAGATTTAAGTTCTGTCTGTCTACAGCTTTTGTCAGTTGCTGCACACTGATAAATGAATACGGAAGGAAGCTTTCAGTCTAACTGACAAGAAACTTGCTTTCTATGAAAGTGCCTGTTTGGGGAAAAAGGAATCATTTCCCAATTCTGGAACTGTTCAGTTTCGATTTCCAGTCTGACAGCTGCTTTGACTTACACTGCACAGTCAGTTTAATGAGGCAGCTCAGTCCTTGACTGAAATCAGAGTCCTTATGGAAAACAACCAGATGAATTTGTATCCTATTGGTCACCTTCTAGTGATTTCTACCTGCCTCCTGAATCTGCTCTGAAAATTGGCCAACTGTGGGTATTTTTATTCCTCAGACTATTAAATATCTACAGATTTCCATGGAATTTATGTAGGCAGTATATCTGCATGAGCTTTGCTTCCTTAGTAAAACAGGCTTAATTGCAGAATACTATTAATTTCAAATGCTGTGAATTTTGTTTTACCATGGTCCCAAGATGCTTTAACTGCTGTTTAATATACGGGCATGAGAAAGTATTAGTTCATTTGTGTATTTGCATTACCTTTAAATAGCCTTAAGTTACTTGGAGAAGTGCAGCAAAAAAAATACTGGTCGGCACAACTCTCACTTCCTCTCTCCCTGCTGTGTACAGTGCCCAGTGAGGAAGTTTCAGCAGTTAAGTAATGTTTCGGAACAGTGTTGCAGAACACTCTATAAGAGGTGGTAACTGCCCCTTGGAAAGAAGCTGTTAGGCCATTTCAGATCCATTAATGGGGCACTGTAAAGCATTCCTCCGTTTGATAGCCTGAAAGATTTATGTGGAGATAGTTCAGGAGATTCTACTTGTTACATAAGGTAAACACTTTTATGCTAACCAAATGTCCTGCCACTTGAAGAGATTGCTCTGACTTTTGTTTTGTTGTCCTACCAAAGCCTTTCTGTCCTGTTACAGCTGTCAAAAATGTAGATGACGAGGATGTTAAATCCAAGCACAACAGCAGTGCACGATCTGTTGGTTAAGAGTTTGTTCTGTAAGTTTCAAGCTACTTCTGAAGATGCTGAGACAAATGGGGGGGGGGGGGGGGAATAAATAAAAAAAAACCCAACACAAAAACATGCCCCCAAAAGCCCCAATGACAACAAAAAAACCCAACACTCAACCCCCCTAAAGGATAAACTCAAAAGAACCTCAACAAATATAACTAAATCGCACCTCCTTGATGGCAAGATTTTAATTCATCATTCCACTGATGTTTTATCTATTTATGGTCTCCGCTGAGGAAACAAAGGTTTATTGTAAGGATTTAAGTTGTTACTAAAGTAAATCTCTGGTCCCTTGCTTCATGAAGTGACTCATATGTGCTTAGTCTAATTATTAGTACTAAATGAAATATTTTTGAAAGGATTTGAATTATTCATTCTTTGCTTCAACAGCTGATGGAGCTTAATTGATAGACTCATGACAGTTTAGTTTATGCTACTGAATTGAAACCAGAAAGGTGTAATTGGAGCTCTTCTGATAAGCCAATCCTGACCAAATATTTCTGAATTGGTAATTAAATCTCCATAGACCTAAGATTTGGATCTTCCTCAGTTGTATATTTGTTGCTCCTTCCATGAGACTTTACAATGAAAAGAGTGGATGAGATACAAGATAACTACATAAACCTTTATAGGTACAAATCATCTCTAATATTACCCTGACATCAGTTTAGCCACGATTTACATGTAGATTGTCTGATTTAATTTTTTACTTGCTAATTACTTTGCAAAAGTAAAAGCAAGTTCTAACCCAAAAGCTTAGAACTGCATTCCACTGGGAACTGTCCCTCCATTTCACATTTTGTTTCAGAGCTTTCTCTGTGCTTTGAACTTGGTCTGAAGAACAACTGGATGTAGAGACACTTGGTTTACTTGTTTGAAGGATTTTCTTACTATCCTTTTAATTGTAAAATATTTATTACACCATTTATTATTGACTTAACTGAATGCTCTGATTTTATACAAGTGAATTATTCTGACCACATACAATAACTTTTTCCAGATAGCATGGCAAATACTTGGTTTACAGATGAGGTGGGTTTGGTACAGTTTATAGCATTCCTTTCTAAGTATGGCTGGTATGCTTGTTTTTTACTTGCCTCTAATGTTCCAACCCTCCCTCCCCTTCTGGGACAAATACATTCTTCTGTCCCCACATCTAGTGAACATAGCTTACATCCTGAAGAGAAGTATTTTCGTGTTTTTACTACATAATAAATCTTTTAGGTGTGGGAAATGATTCTAAATCTGCTAATAATCTGTGGGGTTTGTTGTTTGTTTGGTTGGTTTTTTTCCCCTCTAAAGGCATTGCAGCCATTTGTAGGGGAGCCAAACTAGTTTTCTTAATCTCAGGAGTAAAGTAGCAAGATTCCTTTACACTGCCATAAAAATCAGTGAAAAGCTGCTGCTTAAACAGATCCTTCATAATGAAATTCAGAGAAGTTTAGACCACTCAATAGTGGTCTCAATAAGAGGATCTTATTTCTGTGGATACTATTCTAAAACTTGTTAGTTCAGCAGAACTAAAGCATTTGTTCTACTCTAGAAAACACTCCAAGTTAGTGATAGAAAACAGCCAGTGAGCAGTAGGCAAAATTACCTTCAACTAGATGCTGATCGGCCTTTCCTGGGTGGGAAAGCAATGATTTTCTGATTCTGTACAAGTGGCCACTTGCCTCCCAGCCATCTGGTGCTTTCCTATGTGCAGCCTTCCCATGTGCTACATGCTATTTTCCTCACCTTTGCTGACACTTACTTCTCGTTTACTTTTCAGCTTTTTCTTTTCAGGTAGCTCCAAAGAACAGCATCCTTCCAAGCTCTACAGCCATACTTCATGCTTGGTGACAAGCCACAGCACAAGGTTCTTTCACCTCACAACAGAGAGCTTTCATGTGCCAAACTCTGATATCCTTCAGGTATGCATCTTCTGCATGGTCAGGTATCTCCCTTCTGCATTACACAGTGTCTGGTCTAAAATGTGCAGAGTAAGATTGCTGAGGGTGAGAAACAGCAAGAAAGTTTGTCACTAGATCATGGAAGAAAGAAAGAGGGGGAAGGCACCTGTGTGTAGCAGAGGCAAGATACTGGATATGGAGAAGAAAAGGGTTGTGGGAATAGGTAAGTGGAGGACATAAAGAATTGCAGAGATGTTGGAAAGTAGTGAGCTGAGGAATAAATAGTGTTGTGAATAAGGCAGGAGCTATAAATCCTTTCCACTTTTCAGAACATCCTTGGAGTTAGGAACAATTCCATCTTTTAATAACTTTAAAAAAAAATGTTATTCTTTTTTTGTCCCTGAAGTTGAGAGTGGGGAGCAATTTTGGCTTAGGGTTGTGGTCATCTGCTATGGTAGCCAGAGAACAGTTCATTGCCTGTACTAATTCTAATGCAGTTTGATTACAAGTAGTTTCATATTTGATTTTCTAGATGGATTCAGCAGTTAATCTTTTCAGAATCTTAAAAAAAAATCCAAAACATAAAAATGAACAACCAAAAAAACCCAAAACAATCAAGTTCATTTTCTGAAAGTTATAGTCCTCTTAAGTGTATAACGCTAATTTGACATGATAGCTTAGTAAGCATAAGCATAATATTCTGCTTCCATATCAGTTAAAGACAAAAATTTCCTCTGAATTATTTAATCCATCATGTTTGAGCATCTCTCCTGGTGTGCCAACAGCCATATTTGGGTAATTCCTGCTGTGGATAATTCAGTTCTGGTGGCTAATCAAGTCCACAACTGCCTTGGGAAGATTGCCCAAAAAATGCCTGTTAAGAAGAGTTGCTTTTCGATTGCTGATCTCATGCTGTTAAGCAAAGGGATGCAATCATGTTTGCCTCGTACAGAATGAATTTCAGAACACTATGACCTAGATTTTTATTAACTTGCAAAGATTTTTAAACTAAAATTTCATCAAGAGCATGTACTCTATAATCAATTTTGGTCATTTACTGTCTGCAGCATTATTCAAGCTGTAATGGCTATTCATTGCTTCATGGTCATTGCTGTGGATCAGTTGCTGGAAACTATAAATTAAGTATTTATATAGATGGATGGAACTATAAATTAAGTAAAGCTATTACTCAAATTTACACTTGCTGCTTTTAGAGTTGGAATATTTTCTCTGGGCTGATGTTTAAGGACATAATGCTGTCCCTGATAACTTTTAATAAGGTTTGAGGGAGTAAATGTCACCAACATCTTTAAAACAGTGGTAAAAGCATGAAGTCAACCAGTTCAATATTCAGACTGCTTTCATACCATTGCTAATTAGCACTGCACTGTGCTTGCCCTGCAGCAGCAGTTCTACTCATTCCTGATGCGTTGGCCTTGTGACAGCACTGGTATTGTGTCTACACTTCAGGCTGACTAACCTCATTAATACATAATTGAAAGCAAAATAAAAAAATTCTTCTGGTCAGATTTGGCTCTTTTCCCTTAGAGGCATGTCCAGGCATCTTTTTTAAACATCTGGTTGCTGAAATTTCTTTCTTGTCAATGCAAATAAATGTCTATTTCATACAGGAAATACATAGGAGCCACTTTAGTAGTTACGCGAACACTGTCTATGATACACCAGTTCTGAAACGTGTACCTGCTCTGAGGGCCTACTGCTGCCTGAACTACTGCTCCTGAACTTGTTCAGGATTTTTGGGGGGCCAGTTCTTTGTAATTGATCTCTTTGTCAACGGATTTCAACTGCAGTTAGAAGACCAGACAGTGAAGCAAAGATGGTACACACCAACAAAAAAAGCATACAGTGTGTGGGATCTGACAAATCCAGGCTTTTAAGAAACTGTCCCCAAAAAGTCAACAGGTAGCAGATTTGAGCAGCTTTGTAATGTTTTGTATTCAGGATCCTTGCACATGAGTGTGTTGGCTTAATACTGAGGTTCTTGGTAAAAGCAAGGAAGAAGAGGAATAGCTCAAGCGAGGCTATTCTGTTAGGCCTTTACAAATACAGAAAGAACTGAGTGCCTTTAGGTGGGCTGTGTGCTCTGGGTGCCCTCTGTTACTGCTCAGATGGAAGGTTCCTGCTGTAGCATCCAGATCTTTCTGCTTCAGTGAGGAATCAGGAATTCCTGCCACTAACAAAATTGCCAATAAAACCCCAAATCTCAACATGTGTGCCCATAGCATGGGTGTTCAGAAAGAGAGGGTGACCAGGAAAACAGAAACACTTGTCTGCAGTCTATTTTCCCTACCTGAACTATGCTTGGAACATCAGATCAGCCTTTTAGGGACAGTTACAGGGAACAGTTGGGAAGGCTGAGAGGAGCCCACAGTGAATAGCCCAATCTTCTGCTTTCAGCAGGATTCAATATAAAATCTTAAACTGGCATCCTGTGCTGGAGGTCATGAGAAATTGTGAGCATCATTACCAAAGCAGCATTATTAAGAATTCCTGCAGAAAAGGGATGATGGACACAGCTCTTCTATTGCAGGATACGTTGTTAACTCAGGATCTCTTGAGTCATAAGCTGTAACTGAGCTGACATCTAAAAACTGGTGTCCTTATCCCAACAACTTGACTTTGCAATCAAAACATCCTTTTATTGTATGATGTAATTAGAGTATAGAATTTAATCAACCTTTGATTTTTGTTTATTAAGTGCTTATTCAGCACTAAGTGGCAATTAAGCATTAAAATACCTTCAGTAAATCCAGGAACTTGGTAATCATAAATCATAATAAATTTGCCCCATTTTGAGGTTGTATCAAGTAGAACTGCAAAAAAGTGATTAAGAAAAGTTTGCCAACTCCCTGTCTCCCTCAACAGATAACTGAAAAGTTAAACAATCCAGTGAGCTGTAACTTTTAAAGATGTTCAAAATAAACCCTTCATTCTCCAGCTACAGAAATCTTCTGATTGAACTAAGTTCAGTAATCCTCGGTATGATCTGTGACATGGAACTGTTGGAGTGAGTCCAGAGTTGGCCATGAAGATGCTCAGAGGGCTGAAGCACCTCTCCTATGGATACAGGATGAGAAAGTTGGTGTTGTTCAGCCTGGAGAAGGCTCTCGGGAGATCTTAGAGCACCTTTCCAGTACCTAGAGGGGCCAATAAGAAATCTGGAGAGGGACACTTTACAAGAGCATGTAGTGACAGGAAAAGGAGAAATGGCTTTAAACTGACACAGGGGAGATTTAGATTAGACATTAGGAACTTCATTGTGAGGGTGGTGAGGCACTGGCACAGGTCACCCAGAGAAGCTGTGCTGCCCCATCCCTGGCAATGCTCAAGTTTCTTTCAGCAACTCAGGGACAGCTGTGTCACACAACACAGTTCTGGCATTGTGCAAACACACAGCAAAAAAATTCTCACTCTACAGAACTTGCTGTTTGAGCACCTGACCTTAGTCCTGGAGACATGACACTGAAACTCAGATCTGTTTTTTTTAGAGTAGGGATCATAAAGATTCCTTTCTCAAGATGTCTTGTTTTGAATGTCTGTAAATGACTTTAGAGAGTTACAAGCAATCTTTGTAACAACTGTCATGGAACTACTTTTGTGAATATGCACTTCTACCTCATAGATGCAGTGACTTGGCAGCATTGGTGTGCTATCAAGAAATTGTACTTTCTGTTAATATAGCTGGATCCATCTGGGAGTACTGAATACCAAATCTGTGGCAGTAGAGCTGTGTTGTTCCAGTTGATCTTGCAGCCATTTTTACTTTGTGAACAAGGAACAGAAGGTATTTGTTGCATTTGTGGCAATACAAACCATCCCAGGAAACTCAAGATTAAAAATTAACTAAAAATATTTCTCATTATAATATTGACATTATTATAAAGTATATTGTATATTGTACTAAACTAAATACTGTCTTCAGTGAAATCATACAGATCCTGTTTTTACATTTTCAGAACAGTTCTCGCTAATGTGAGCAGTGATTAATCCTGGGTGACAGACTTCAGCAGGACCTGGCTTCACTACAATGGCAGAAGGTATTTACTGTGAAATTAATATGTATGTAATTCGGGTCTTTCCTGTCATGTGTTTAGAGATGTTCCTATCTTCAGTGTACCATGCAGAAGCAAAATGGTCCCCAAAATAACTGTTAGGAAGCAAAAATAAATGAGAAAGAGCTCCTCTTCATGGCAGTTGGTAAGCTGCTTGGCTAAGCAGCTGCTGTGACTTCATAATTAAATAGGTGTTCTAGTCTCTGTCCAAACTATTTAGAAGCAGACTTTGAGCTGAAATCAAGGTGAATCATCAAGCCATCTGTAAAACACAAGCCAAGCTGATGATCTCATGGTGTTGCAGTGATGACAAAGAGTATTCTCTATCCATAGAAAGATTATTGTGCCAGAGGTACATAAATAGCTGCAGTAATAAAAATAACAGTAGTTACGCTGGAGCATGACTTTTAATTACAAATTTGCATGCTACTAGTGGCAGGCAACTGAAACTGTCAGTACTTTGAAGTATCTTTTGATGAACATTCTGTTTTCATGACATGTCACAGGTAAGGAGGACATTAAACTGAGGTACTTTTTTTTTTTTATAATGTTCTGTCATTATTATCCATGTGATTTGACCACATTACTGGGTTTAGATAAAGCTTTTATCTTGTTAGAAAAATAGTCAGCTCAAACGTTTAGATTTTAATTTCAAAAAAGGCAGTGGAAACTGAGCTAATGAAAGTATTGTTTAAACATGTATCTTGAGATAGTGTATTTATGATACTGGTATTATTACAACAACTTACAGCACTAATCAGAAAAGACTACAAATCTGATTTTAACTGGTACAAAAATAAAGGTACAGATTTGTCATATTCATTAACATCCAGGATCATGGACTAATGCAGTACTCTGCAGCTGGAGCCAAACTTGAGTGCTTCACGGG